GGTTTTGATGCTTTTATATATTATTCTTGTGAGTTTTGGTAAAGAAGAACCTGTATAACCCTTACAATACTGGAATCTAGAAATGAGTCATGATGCAAATTTCATGCCCAAAGAATACCAGTTCACAGGCACATGAGACTTCAATCTTTGCATTATTTAGCTTTGCCTCTTGGTTCCATAAACGCATGGATCTTCATCTGGTTTTCAACATAGGTTCCTTCTCTTTCAATTGTATAAGCAATCACATGAATGGAGGATTATTTTATGCTCGTTTCCACTTTTAAACAAGAATTATCATGTCGGCATAAGCAAATGTGTGCCATGTTGGAAGATATCATCACATATGTTGAGTTATGGCAATGGTATCGGTGATGCAAATTCTTGAAGTTACCCTACACCTAAACTATTAGTCTGGTGGTAATGTACTAGACTCACTCAAGTTCTATTGAGGGTTTGAACCTCAACCTTAAAAAAATAAAGACCAACTCTACTCTATACCCTAATTTACAAACTTCCCTCCCATCAAGGTACCTACCATAAATGTCGAGCATGTCGAAGGACATGAAGATCGATATTGCAGAAACAAAATGAAAACCTTTAGTCCAAATACCAATTCTTGAATTGAGCAGCCACAAGACACCTGAATTCCTAAAGTAAAACATGTGTTCTTTGTAAAAGAAATCCTTTAGTACTAATGTTTTAAATGAGTGTCCATCAAGATTCATTTTATATCATTCTATGGTTTCAAAGGTGCTAATTTACTTCATCCATCATGCTTTCTTTTAGTAGTAATGAACTCGATATATTTACAACTTCATTAAAATAACATGTGAGAGGCATCTACAATTATATTATTTTCATTACTTGACAATTATGTATATCTCTTCTATCAGGGAATTCTGCAGTTCAAGGAGGAGAATAGGCCTCCAAAAATGATAGGAAGACAACTACTGAATTAACCTAAAATCAACCATCAATTCATATTTGGTTCTAGATGGACAACAAGGCCTTGTTTTAACACCAAAAATAGAAAAGTAAATAAAAAACACAATGACATAGTATTGCTCAATATGGGGTGCCTATGTGCTATTAAAAAAGAATATTAGGTCAATTTAACTTGCATATACAGTAAAAATCACATGAGAGCATTTTTCACAATCAACATAACTGAACTGAACTTGCAAATCACAAACCTTCATCCAAAAACAGCCAATGAAACAAAGCCAATGACATTCACTAATTATTTTATGACTATGTTGAGATATTCTACCTTAAGCATTATACAAAGTTTTGATAATATTAATTACATCTGCATGGTCAATTAATGTTCTCAACCTAAGGTACAGTTTGACTGAAGACACATGTTAGCTTCATGCAACCATAAACAAGTTGAAGCTACAGTTCAGGTTACTAGACAACATTAATGCTACACCTAGATTTCATTTTCCATTTGTCTTGCATCCTCGATAATATGGACACCAATAACAAAAATGATTTTTAGTGAGCAACAAGATTTTGTGCACTTTGTATATGCCAACTCTCATGTAAATTTAGTAATGATATGTCAAAAGACTAACAGAATACCAGATTAGCCTAATCAGGCATAATGCCACATAATCCCTTGTAAAACTTACAACTTAGCTACATAGGTCTGTTACAGTCATCAAGCTCTGTTAAGCCCTTCCCATAGTTCTTATTTCCATCAGATTAAAATATAAGCTCAGAGTAAAAGGTAAAGGCAAAAAATAGTAAAGATGAGAATATGTTACATATTAATTCAAAGAAGTATTGAGAGGATAAATATTAAATTATAACACTCAACAGAATATTTAGATTAGATGAGTGATTGATTCAATTGATTTGACCAAGTTTGGATAGGTGAAAATTATTAAAAAATCATCATGAAAACTTTAAACAAATCGTCATAGTACAGAAATTTAGTTTTCCGGGAGTAGAAATCTAATTGCACTAACATTCATTTGTTCAATTAATTTCACTAGAATGGGCCTTAAAATGTTTGTGCACAAGATATTAGGCTACCAGGATACTAGGATTAAACTACACTGTGTATTAAACATAGTAAACTTGTTTTACTGCTACACATGGGAAAAGAAAAAGTTAAGCACAAAGAGATGCAAGAAAGTTCACAAGGAGCACAAAAGAAATCCAATTATGCTATGACAGCAGTACCTATATGGTCTGTGGCCTCCGACAAGAAGCGCAATGGATTAAAACGACCTGCATCCTTGCCCCAGATATAGCTATCCATCTGCACCAACTGTAAAGGAACAACCATAATTGCTCCTGCTGGTACATTTACGCCAGAACAAAGATAAATATCTGCAATTCAGAATTAAAAGACATTAATAAATTTCCAATAAAGATGAGAAATTAATGCAACATTCTTTTCAAGATTAGCATGTCAAGAATTTAAGTCAGCCATATTCTTTAACTGCATTGTTTTGCTATCACAAAAAGAAATCTCCAATTAAACAGCCTGATTAACAATCACATTCAAGCAACCATGTGACATCAACTGAGTACAACTGTGTAAAGCACACATGGAATGCTGATTGAATAGGTTGAAAATAAAAACTTAAGTATCTTGTCAGAGAAGACATAAAGATTCTAGGTTTCTATAATTGTAGTATCAACTATGACAAACCATGATAAGTAGAATTAATTTTTTGAATACCATGGATCAAGGTAACAAACTGACATGATAATTCACTTGATACATCAAAGTGTTAAAAAGCTTTGTCAACAACTACCGCTGAATCTTAAAGGATTCACAGTAGTCCTGGTCCAATTACATAAGCTACTCTTTTCCAAACACATGATCAACTTCCCGACCCAAGCTTCCAAGATGCCTGAAATGGAAGTAAGTCATTCTCAAAAAAGGGGAAGTTATCATGGGTTCCATCCAGTGGGAAAGCATTTCCATCATAAACCCTACAGGACAGAAAATTACTTTATTCAATCATTATTATATACCTTAGCCAAGTTCTAAACTCCTTGGAAACTCAAGATTAGTCCATAAAAGTCTGACCTGTTACTATTAATAAGAAATATTATGCCTAGCACATTAGTGACATGAAAAAACTTATTTGGACAATATAAATATTTATGACAATATCATATTTCAGTTAACATTGCTCAATATATAGTAAAGATTTTAATTTTGAATAATACCACCTGTACCGGACGGTACCATTGATTGGGGCTGCTTCGGCCCCGTTACCACCCTAAATCGGTTGATGACGGTCGATTTCAACTGTCGCCGCCCGCTACCGGGTGGTATTAGCCGAGGGAGAATAAAGAAGAGGGAGAAGAAAAAGGAGAACCTAGAGATCCGACGCCGCTCTTTCTCGACGATCCCGATCCATCGCCGCCCTCCCTCGCCGGATGTCGCAGATGAGATGTCGCCTCCTCCTCGCCCGAGCGGTACACCTCGGTGTACCGCTCAATACTCTCGTATTGTATCGAGCTACGTTCGAAACTTTGGTACGGTACAAAGTTACATCCTTGATATATACCATTCTTTGTAAGAAGCAAACTATAAACAAAAAAGTTATGATCTTCAACTATCAGTTGTAGAGAAGAAGCTAAAACCTAAGTCATCCATGAATGTCTTAAAATGAGAAACACGTTACCATGTAACCATTGAATAATCAAATATCTGATCATAAATTTCAAAAGAAGTTCCTGTTTATAAATCACATGTTGTAAAGTTAATAACCAATTTTATAAATCACATGGTGTAAAGTTGCACCATGTAACCTAAGTCATCCAAATCACTAAGCTCTCATTCTTAATCCAAATTAGGAAACATAGTGTAAAGTTAAAAACCAAGCTTCTAAATCACATGGTGATCATCACTTAAACTAAATCAGATATCTCCAGTTGACTGTCCCCATAAATTGATTTTCTAACCATAATTTTCAGAGATAGCAAGCAATCAATTAGTACAACGATGGTTCATACTTCATAGTCAAACTTGCATCCATACATCACCACTGAGCAAGAAAGGCACTTGTAGAAAGCATATTCATCACTAAAGGAGCCACAAGCTGAATGGACCTCATATAGACACAAATGCAAATGATGTTGAGTGTTTCTTGAATTTGAACCTGCAAAGCAGTTAATTTAAACTGCAAGAATCATGAAAACTAAACCCTCACTGCCTCAGTTTGCAACTCTCTGAATGCGACAAGGAAAGGGACAAAAAAGAACAAGAGGAGACAAAAGTCTTGAGTCTCAGAACTGCTGGCAAGCAAGGGAAGAAGAGGTATGCAGATTTTTACTAGATTATCTTGATACCCTTTTCCAATTTATTTTTAATTCGATCAGTGCTGACTTTTAGCTGCCAACATGTCATTTATCGGTCTAACATCATGTTTAAAACTTCATCTCCACAGTATAAATAAATTATTGAGTCAACTGAACATAATAAGAGATCTATGTATACTGCAGTGGGAAAATGAGAGTCACTCCTTAAATCCTCGAGAATATCAAGTTTAAGTGTTTGAATACATCAATAGCAACAGAAATTTTCCCTGTAATGATATTTAGATTACTCCAGCGAACAATTTATTTAAAAGATCTGTATAATGACAATATTTCCATGCACAGAGCAACAAGCATGTAGGATGCTTAAAAAGTAAAGCCATTTATATCAAATAACTCAGAGCAGATATAAGTAACACACTCATGCTTGTATGCTGATTTCATCAGTCTTTCTATTAGCAATTTACCATCCAAAAGATATGTAGGCCTATTTGTCTAAAATGCCTCTCTTAAAGTGTTACAATTTATTAACATAGCATGCTTAAAATATCAAGAACGAAAACAGAAAGAGAATTTACTATGTGTTGGTTGCAGAGAAGAAGAAAACAAAAAGCAACCACAATGACCTTGTCAACACAAAACATGAAACTAAAATGTTCAATGCTTAAATGAATATTTCAGAAAGTTTGATTAAATTGAAAAAATTAGACTTGGAAGGGTTCATTACCATGTTCAAGAGAGCATCTTTGAAGCAAAGGTCCAGCTGGCAATAACCGAGCTGATTCGTAGACTGTAGCCATAAGTAAATTCATCTTTTGTACATCATCAGAGTCCAACTTGCAGGTTTTCTCCTGAACTGCAATGATCTCTGCATATAACTGTGGCAGAGAAGATAGATAAGAGATCATATATAGTTAGCCGAGCATTTCTAGAATACATGTTCAGTGATTAAAATTATTTTGCTCTAGAATGTTCATTAGTTTTAGCTTTCAAATTCAGCTCCTCAACCTAAGAAAGATGGAATACACAAAAATTTGTTTCACATATTGCTTTATCAAGTTACTAGAGTTCTGCATCAAAAGGTCCTTTGGCTGAGACCAAATTTATGGTCTAGCCCGATCATACAAAGTTGACAATTCATTAGCAGTTAGCACCACCAACCTTCAACAATGAAGATTGTCATTTTCAATCACTTTGAGAGTAAAACAAGATCATATGAAGAAACACCAACAGATAACAAATCTGAAATATGCATATAATTAAAGTAAGATCTACCTTCTGCTGCAATTCAGGATGTAAAGCAAGCCTTGTCAGAATGCTACTAATCAAGCTAGAAGTAGCTAGACATCCATGAAACATCAGGCCCAATATGTTCCCACATAGTTCTTCTTTGGAAGTGAGATACTCTGCCATCTCTTCCTGGAGGAGAACACCTGAAGGCATATTATCAAGCAGAATAGAATCATTGAACCTGGCTTCATCTTCAATATCCTTGTTATCTTTGTAAGAACTGTGACCAATTTTGCTTAACAAGTCATATTTTTCCACACAATGCTGAATAATGTCTTCGGTTAAGTGTTTTAACCTCTTGCACATGTGCTTGTACTTCCAGTATTCTCTACTCCAGAAAGGAGGGATTGTATAAGAGGCCCAGAAGCAACCATCTTTAGAAATTGTTATTAGGAGCTTCTCATAAATGCTAGCTTTAGGCCAATCCAAAAATGCATCTCCAAAGAGTGTGCTCCCAAGGATGTAAAATGCCAACTGTTGAGAAACCAATCCACAATCAAGGGTCCCTTTAGCCATAATAGTGTCAACTCTGCCCATGACACATTCAACAATCTCAGAAGGAATAATATTTGCTCTCACAGA